TCCCACTTTCCCTGCCCAGTCTTCTAATAAGTAATAGCATTAATAGAAGTTAACATTTATTGAATTCTGATTATATGCTAGCAACTTCCCAAAATTGTGTAGATATGCATTCATACAACAGACCTATGAAGAATATACTGTTATTAACAAAATATTGTAAATCACCTATACTTCACTTAAAGAAAAGAATGTACTATTGTTCCCATGTTACAGATGAAGGAACAGGGACAAAGAGAGCAGATAACTTGCTGTGATAGAATAATGCTCTGTAACCGTAAATATGTCACGTTACATGATAAAGGTACTTTACAGTTGTGCTTAAGTTACGGGTCTTGAGTTGGGGAGATTATCCTGGATTATCCAGGTGGACCCAGTGTAGTCACGGGGGTCCTTATGAAAGAGAGGTGACAGGATCAGAGTTAGAGAAGGAGATGTGACTGTGAATGCAAACATGAGAGATAACGAGAAAGAGAGAAATTTGAAGATGCTATGATGCTGGTCCTATACAAGAAGGAAGGGGCCATAGGCCGAGAATGCAAGTGGTTCCTAAAAGCTGGAAAAAAGAATGTTGAATTACTACCACTAGGTTAAGTACACAAATGTTTAATGTCCAACAGGGCAATAAAACCATACCTTTGGGGATATATTTTCTATCTGACAGAAGTTTATTTGCATCTCTACTGGGAAAACAAAACGAAACAAAACTATAAATTAACATGTAACTTAGAGACTGGCCCTCATCAGTAATAAATAGTAAAATAAGATATTTGTGAATTCACCTAGAATTAATTAGACGGGCTTCTTTTACAAAGCTCCAGCATGACATTGAGAGCACGTGAAGTTATTCCTTTGATTTATTTTCCAGCTTTTTAAATTTTCTTAAGAGTGGTAGTATCAGTTTCAAGAGAGACCTGTCTCTCCCACCAGCATCCCTGGAGAAAATTCAGATTCTCTCTTCCTCTCTCTCCCTCTGTCTCTCAAAAGATTATTTTTTTTCAGATAGTTCCAGATTTTTATATTGTTAACTGTATTTATCATAGCACAACATTTTATGATGATTGTTTAAAATCGCATGCTTTTTATATATCAGATAAGTTCTGTAAATAGCGTTTATAAGTGAGTTTTCTATCTAAAGTAATACTGTTAGGGACCATCCTGAATTCCTTTGTTTTATGGGAATCCTTGTACATATATTACACGGATATAACTTGAAGTTTCCCCGTACTGACATTGTACTTACATTCTGAATTATATTTAGCTTTTTTTTCCTGAAGCGTATTCACATTGCATGTGTAAGCTGAGAGCTGAGTTACTGACTGCCACTGGAGTTTCTCAGCATCCTCAGCGATTCCTTTCATGATAGTGAATGAGAGAATGTGTTGGGAGAGTGTCTAGCCATCTTAAAATTAAGCATAATAAGACTAATTATTTTATGGGGACAAGTTTAGGACTTGAATACTGACAAGAGTAAGAAGATTATTGATTACCATCCACTTTAGCATCAGGTTTCTAGACCTGAAAACAGAGCTTTCTCAACTACCTTAATTAAAGTGACCCCAGGGTTCTTTTTTTATCTTGATCAGAATGCCTGTTATGGTCTGTAATGGTTTATGAACTTACTTTTTTTTATAATTTTAATTTTTATTTATTTTTTACATCTTTATTGGAGTATAATTGCTTTACAATGGTGTGTTAGTTTCTGCTTCATAACAAAGTGAATCAGTTATACGTATACATATGTTCCCATATCTCCTCCCTCTTGCGTCTCCCTCCCTCCCACCCTCCCTATCCCACCCATCCAGGTGGTCACAAAGCACCGAGCTGATCTCCCTGTGCTATGCGGCTGCTTCCCACTAGCTAGCTATTTTACGTTTGGTAGTGTATATATGTCCATGCCACTCTCTTGCTTTGTCACAGCTTACCCTTCCCCCTCCCCATGTCCTCAAGTCCATTCTCTAGTAGGTCTGTGTCTTTATTCCCGTCTTACCCCTAGGTTCTTCATGACATTTTTTTTTTTTTCTTAGATTCCATATATATGTGTTAGCATATGGTATTTGTCTTTCTCTTTCTGACTTACTTCACTCTGTATGACAGACTCTAGGTCCATCCACCTCACTACAAATAACTCAATTTCGTTTCTCTTTATGGGTAAGTAATATTCCACTGCATATATGTGCCACATCTTCTTTTTCCATTCGTCTGGTGATGGACACTTAGGTTGTTTCCATCTCTTGGCTATTGTAAATAGAACTGCAATGAACATTTTGGTACATGACTCTTTTTGAATTATGGTTTTCTCAGGGTATATGCCCAGTAGTGGGATTGCTGGGTCATATGGAAATTCTATTTGTAGTTTTTTAAGGAACCTCCATACTGTTCTCCATAGTGGCCGTAGCAGCAACTGACAGAGGATTAATCTCCAAAATTTATAAGCACCTCATGCAGCTCAATAACAAAAAAACAAACAACCCAATCGAAAAACGGGCAGAAGACCTAAATAGACATTTCTCCAAAGAAGATATACAGATTGCCAACAAACACATGAAAGAACGGTCAACATCACTCATCATTAGAGAAATGCAAATCAAAACTACAATGAGATATCATCTCACACCGGTCAGAATAGCCATCATCAAAAAATCTAGAAACCATAAATGCTGGAGAGGGTGTGGAGAAAGGGGAACCCTCTTGCACTGCTGGTGGGAATGTGAACTTACTTTCTTACTTGCTACTTGTTGTCCGTCTTCACTGAATGTAAGTTCCTTGAGGACAAGGGCCATGTTGGTGTTGATCCCTCTTTTATCTCAGCATCCATCACCGGGCCTCAGACTGGATGGGCTAAATAAATATTTATTGAATGAATGGACCCAACTACTTAGTGTGATACCTGTGAAGTAAGAACATAGTAGGTAAGAGAGAAAATGGCAAGTGGCTTCCATGTAAGAGATGAAGTAGGATAGCATTGCTTTAGGCATCAGTAAGTCTAATATGTTTCTCACTATCCCATTTTGCTGATGGAGATATTCCAGGCACAAAGCTCTTGGTGCCATGAAAGGGTAATATGACCGTTATAATGTGATAACAACGATAGCAAAGAAGGGTGAAAAAAAGAAATAGAAGGCTGCAGGATCACAGGCTAGACCTTCACTGGGGAAAAAATTCTCTTGGTAGCTAATTCCAAAAATAGACTTTATCTGAAATAAAATCATTATAATGATGGTTGCCTTTAAGCAATGCATTAAGTCAGAGATAACTGCATGGCTCCAAATGTGTCAGCATTTAAAGTCTGTCCTATTGGAATTTTTCTTAATTTATTGTAATCAAATTATCATAGAACACATTATTTGTATTTGTCACAGAGTTATGTTTTTGCCATGCACATTCATTCAGCTATACAACAAGGAGTAATTATTCAGTTAACATTATTCTTTCTACAGAATGCAATGTTTATTCATGTGCACTTGGTGAATGGATTCTTTTATAAGCACATTAACAAGACGTGGAAAAATCAAACCTCTGAATTTCCAAAAGATAGCTGCATAAAATAGTTGGGAAAAAATTGGGGCGGTGGTGAATATAAATGGTTCCCATTATATATGATGGATAATCTGAAAGAAATGCGTATTTGGACATACAAGTTGATGTAATCATTTTGTCGAATGAAACAAGATGAGTGAACTGTAATGTCGTTTTGTTGACTGGGAGAAGTCACCTAACCAGTTGAAAAATAGCTTCCTATTTTATTGGGTTACCCTAACCTCTTCATTTATTACATAAATGCACTCTCAAGGGTAATTGCCTTAAAGAAAAAAATCTTTGACTTGTGAAATGTAGGAAACACTGCAAGGCTTTCTGAGTATTATCAGTTCTTTGCTCAGGGTGCAACTGATTTTGACAGATGTACTGTTATGTTACTGGTATAACATGACATCTTTTATCAGATGAACTGAATAAAAGTGATCTTGACAATGAGTAGATAAGACACTGTCAGAAAGCTGGAAAACCCTGTCAATGTCACAGTTATGACACAAATGCAGCAGAACAGCCCTTATAATGTCATTAAGTGAATATCTTTCCAGCAGTGCCCTTGAGAAGACAGAAAATAGCATTGCTCTTAAATACTATTACTTAGCCACAAAAATAATAAAATAAAACAAAACACAAAGGTCAGTTTAATGTATACTTGAGGTGGCATTGGTGAGTCCGGTGTATGTGTTTGTATTTGTGTGTCGATCTCTTTTATATATGCCATACAGAAAGAATTTTGAGATTTCAAAACTACTTTTTCAGGAGCTAAAAAACCATTTAACTTCAACATTTCAAGAATGTCATTAAAAATATTGATCACGAAATATGCAAAGTGGTTTTATGGGTATTGATTGTAACCTTTACCCTAATTTATTATGGAATGAGAAACAGCCTTTAATAATATAAGAGAAAATTAGGAATACATTTCAAAATGTATTTCTAGATCATGAATTTTGTAAATAGGTGAATAAAGACTAAAATGGAATCAATCCCAGGAATTAGAAGGAATTAGACATTTGGGGGTTTTATTTTCCATTATTTTGATTGGCTTGGAGCTGAAATATCCATGTCTGGGTACAAGTATAATGCGCTTTCTATACATATACTTTTAAAATGCTTTAATGAAAAGCATATTTATCCTTAGAGTGACTTTTAATATCTTTGTCTAGGATCAGAGGTGGTTGATCTTGATGGGAAAAGTTGCCTTCTCTACAGATTTGATGAAAAATCCCTGAGCCCAATAAAGGATATAATTTCTTTGAAATTTAAAACTATGCAGAGTGATGGGATTCTACTCCACCGGCAAGGGCAAAATGGAGATCACATCACGCTGGAATTAAGAAGAGGAAAACTCTTTTTAGTTATTAATTCAGGTAAAACTATTTGGGTAAAGTGCTTGAAAAATATGGTCATTTAGATATCACCTTCGTAACTTTATGCTTTTATAGCTTATCTTTTTTTAACAATTAAGGTGTCTTATTTCCACATTCAAGTGTTTATGTATATATGTGTGATATATATATATCACACACATATATATACACGCCCATATTGTACTTGCACGTAAAAATGGTTCCTATCTGCAAATTGTACAAGACCCTCTTTCAATGTCATAGTGCTGACAGAACCACTTAGCTATTTTCAAACGTCATGATGAAAGGGATGGGTCATTGAAAAATACTGAGGTAGTAAAAATAATGAGGTTGTAGCAAAGATAAAATTTACATCGAGGGCTTCCCTGGTGGCGCAGTGCTTGAGAGTCCGCCTGCCGTTGCAGGGGACGCGGGTTCGTGCCCCGTTTCGGGGGGATCCCGCGTGCCGCGGAGCGGCTGGGCCCGTGGGCCGTGGCCGCTGGGCCTGCGCGTCCGGAGCCTGTGCTCCGCAAATGGGAGAGGCCACAACAGTGAGAGGCCCGCATAACGCAAGGAAAAAAAAAAAAAAAAAAAAAATTTACATCGAAAATGAGTGTGTGATGGTGGGTCATGCTAATAAAGAGAATTAACAGAGGAAGAAATTACAACAAGGTTGAGAGGATATTATATTCAAACTTGAGGTAAATTCAGACTAGCGTTTTGGATGGAGTGGATGGAAAGAGATTGCCATTATCATGAGAGACTCTGGTGCCCCCAAAGGAACTTTTTTTCCTAGTTTTAAACTGAGAATAATGGTGCTGTTATTTTTTTCTCTTCTAAGGTGAAGCTAAGCTGCCCTCCACTCACGGCCCGATCAGTCTCACCCTGGGCAGCCTGCTGGACGACCAGCACTGGCATTCCGTGCTCATCCAACGCTTGGGCAAACAAGTCAACTTTACAGTGGATGAGCACAGGCATCGTTTCCACGCCCAGGGAGAGTTCAGTTACCTACATCTCGATTATGAGGTGTGATGGTTACGTTTCAATTAATGCAGACTTTGTAATATATATGTGGTATAGCCACATGAAAGAAAATACACTATAGAAAACCTACGTTCAGAGTCAGTCAAGGTTCTGATGAAGTGTTCCTCTAGGTGACCTAACTCAAGTAGCAAATTTTGTGCATATACTACCTAGGCTTCATGTTTCTCCCAGTACGTTAATTTATTATTACAAAGAAATGTCATCTTTTTTGCCTGCAGTGTGTAGTCACAGATTGCCACATGTAGGAAATGTTCTTGAAGAGATCTCCTTACAAGTAAATACAGAATGTGTTGCATGATTGGTGGTGGTAGGGGCGGGTAAAGGGCACTCCTGAACAGTGCAGATTTATGGAGAGAATGTAGCAATAAATAGATTAATTGATTCATTAATAATCAATTCAAATGCACAGATATCAATGTGTGCCAGAAATGTATATGAAACAAAATGTCATTGTTATTGGTAACATTGTTAAAGCTGTCAGGGTTTACCATGGATATAAGATGTATTTTTCTTCAGCAACCAAAAAATATTAAAATCAGGTGTGATTAGCAACTTGTAAAAATAATCAAGCTCTTGTGTAAGTGAAAACTGAATGCATATAAATTTGTTTTAAGATGTGCATCTTAATTTGTTTAAATCTCCATTTGAAATTAACAATATGGCAGTGTAGGGTACTGAAAAATCAGTCTATCTATGATGATTACAGCTATAGTTGCTAATCGTAATTATTTAAGCAGATTATCAAAAAAATCACTAAACAATATTATTGATGCCATTTTTCTTTCTAAGATCAGCTTTGGAGGGATTCCAGCACCTGGAAAATCAGTGTCATTCCCCCATAAACATTTTCATGGGTGTTTAGAAAATCTCTATTATAATGGAGTGGATGTTATTGATTTGGCCAAGCAACAGAACCCACAGATCATCATTATGGTAAGACTTGAGTCTTCATGTGAACAAATGAGGAAAACTACGTGGCTTTTCCACACAAAAAAATTGCTTCATTTTGAATTCCCACTTGATGTGATGTTTTAGACTTTACTCTTGTTCCTTAAAAACATTTCTCTGCTTGGCAATATGCATGTAAGGGATGAATTCTATGTTAAAAATTTAAGTTCATAGGGCATGATTATTTTATATTTATATGAAGTAAAGCAGGCCTTTTTTTGGTGCAACTGATAATTTGTTGGGATATTATTACTCCCAGGAGACTAATTTCTCCTACTCTGTAACTTCCTTTATAAGATACTCCCTGACACACTCTCTGAAGAAACATACCAAGTTCCTGGAGTCAGATAACATCCATCTATACTAGAGAAGCATTTGAAAAATTTGTATTTTGCCATGGTCATTTATAACCAATAAAAGAAACTAATAGACTTTTACAAGATTGCATCTGCCAGTCTGTCCCAAGAGCAGTGCTGGTCAGGCTGCATTATACTCTAATTCTATGGAAATGCAGCAGAATTTAAATACAACTGTTATCGGTCAGGGTTCAGTCAGGGAAGCAGCACCACTGTGAGTTTAGGAACAAGAATCTATTTTAGGACTTGGATCTTAACAATTATCAGAGGCGCTGGAAAGTGGAGCCCAGCTGTCTGGAGGAAGAGACGGAGCAGAGTGAAAGCCAGGACAAGCTGGAATAAACCAGCCCCTCTGTGATCCTCCCTCACTGGGCTTTATCACACACAGAAAACCTTTGGGGGGAAAAGGGCCAGCCTTTCACTTCTGACTCATATCATGCAAACTCCCTTTTTGGCTAACTTTTAACCAGAGCAAGACAAGAAAAGAGATTCTGTGAAACGTGGTTTCTAGCTTAACCAGCTTAATGACAGAAAAGCAGACACATCTATCCATTTGAATACATTTCTTTAATTGTTCAAAATTCAAAATATGTAAATGTAAGCTCATGTTGTGTCAGCAAAACCCAAACCACATCATGGGATTATTTATTGCTTACAAAACATTTTATTCTTAATTCTCTGTGTGAATTGATAGTATTTATATGAGTACACCATCCGACAAGATTTTTAAATAGTTTTTTTTTTTTTTAAAAAGGGAAAAGAATTTAAATGGAAAATAAAAATGTTATAGAGAGATAGATGTGAGTGTTCCATTGCAAAATGAGTTTCCAGAAGCTGCTCATGCAGCTATAGCACCCACTCTGCATTGCCAAGAGGATCTGCTGCTTGTAGAGTAGCAGACAGCTGTCCAAATGCAGCCGGTAAATGTTTCCATTTTTACCAGGTTTGTTAGTCTTATAATTGCCTTTACGTTATGGGTCAGTTTATTTCACTCTCCTGCTTTTGTTACTTCATTCACTGGGGCAAGGTATTTGTCTGCAGTGAAAGCTAATACACTTTTAACAGAATCACAGTATAGCCAAATGTTTTTGTTTAACCAAGACTAGTAGTTTAATTCCAATGTGTATTCTTCTAAATAAAGTGATTTCATTGACTTTTCAAATCTATATTTAGAAAATTTGTTGAAGATTATTTTCAGGTAAAATAAAAACATTTATCTTGATTTCTGAAGCCTGTTAAGGAACATTCTAATTATTTCTAAATAGTTCGGACCTTTACGTTTTGTTTTTAATCCTTAAACATGTGTTTAACTCTAATAGCAAAATAATCCTTCATGTACAATATTTTAATGAAAATTCATGCAATTCTAATGTATCTTGAAGATCTACCTAAAAACCATTAGATAAGAAATAATACATGTAAATCTGATGACAAGCACATAATGATAAGAAAAAGACAAAAATGGTTCAAAAAAGAAGGTAAGTACTACATTGTATTATACAATGTTAAACCTAAAAAAATGAAAAATGAAAAACAGGCAGAGAGTATGAACACACCGTTCTGAGGAAAGCGAGTCCAGAAGAGCAACAAACTGATGAAAAATGCTTAGATATACTGTTAGGTAAATGCAAGATAAATAAGAATGGTACATCACTTTGGCATTTTGTTGTTGAACTTATGCAAATTTAAAAGATATGTAATACCTATTGCTGTCAGGGATGTGGGGAAAAGCATATCTTTGTCAAGGATGTAGGAAAAGCATGCCTTTGTATACTACTGTTGGAAATGTGGCGAATTTAACTGTTTTTGGTGGGCAGAGAAGAAGCTGGAAATATTTATTAAAGCGTGTAGATACAATAGTTCTTTATTTAGAGCCCTCTTCTGCAGAACTGAAAATACCAGCGCATAGGGAAGCATGCAGAGTCATTTATTCTTGCATTGTTCAGAGAGGCAAAACCTGGAAACAAACTGAATATACATTAACAAGGAAGCAGTTGACTAAAATTGGAACATTCACATAGTAAAATATTATGCAATCAATAAAAGTAGGAATTAGGCTTCTGCCAGATAACTCAAAGGGATTTCCATAAGTTATTTGTTAATGATAAAATCATGATACAGTAAACAGCATAAAACATGGCTCCAATTTTAATAAAACAAATAATGCCTAGTGTGTAGGTATATGTATTCAAAACATATCTAGGTGTACGTGAATGTACATATAAGTGAACACATAACTTAAACATGTATATACATATATATGTGTATATATATATATTTGTATATGTCAATGGAAACAGAGAGAATTATGAAAAAACATGGAAGGAAAACCAGTAGCTCATTAATGTTGGTTATGTTATGGGGTCGGTTAGAAGCCAAAGGCAGCAAAAGGGTGAAATAAGTGGGAAGAGAAAACCAAGTAAAACATAAAAAAGAGTTGTTTTAAATAAATTTTTTATTGAATTCAATTGCGTTGAGTTAGATGCCTTTGTGAACTGAGAGATGGGGAGGAAATAATTTCACCCAGAAAATGCAGGGAAAGATTTGCCTGACCATGTATCCCTGGATTTGAAGAACCTTTAAGACATATGGCAAGGATTTGAATATTCATGTTGATAGCAATTTTTGTTGTTGTTTTAAATCAGGGGTAACTAGAGATTGATAAACAGCCTCTGTATTTCAGATTTTATCACTAAGGTGATGTGAGTGTCATTCTTAAAGCTTTTTCTTTTACTTTATTCTCAGGGAAATGTGTTGTTTTCTTGTTCAGAACCACAGTCTGTGCCTGTGACTTTTCTGAGCCCCAGGAGTTACTTAGCACTGCCGGGCCCTTCCGGGGAGGACGAGGTTTCTGCCACTTTTCAATTTCGAACCTGGAATAAGGAGGGGCTACTGCTATTCAGTGAGCTTCAGCTGGTTTCAGGGGGTCTCCTCCTCTTTCTTAATGATGGAAAACTTAAGGTGAATCTCTACCATCCAGGAAAATTACCCAGTGACATCACAGCAGGTAATAAGTGTATTCCTGCAGGCAAAGTATATGCGTTTGAAAGATTCCGTTATCTCTCTGTCCCTTCTCCATAAAATTTTATGCTTAACCCCCAAATTAATATTTGTTTAACAAATGAATACTTGAGTTAATAAGATTATCTCTTCCTTAGAGGAACTCGATTCCGATTTTCTTTTAAATATGTCTTCAACACGAGCAGTTCTTATTAACCAAAATGATAGTTGTGGGGCAATAGAAATTTCCTTCCATGACCCTCTCACCCAGTCCAGGTAAATCAATATATCCCGAGGAAATGTGTTCTGGGAAAAATATGAAAGACTTTGAAATGGACCCCTACTTTGCTGGGTATCTTCAGTGGAAGATGAGTCTTGTGTAACACAGTTATTAGTCTTATCTGGTCTTTGAGAGATGGGGAGGGGTCTTTCTGGAATCTATATCTGTATGTCAATATTAGTGTGAATGTAAAACCTAAATATTTAGTCAAATTAACTTTACTTGTTGCTGTAGTTTGTGTGGTGTTGCATATATTTGGGGAGAAGATTTGTGTAAAGTCTCTCATTTGGGAACCAAATGGAATTCTCTGCACTTCTAGGCAATATGGTACCATTTTAATGACTGGAATATAATTAAAGAGACTGTATGAGCGTCTGGAAAATTGACGTCTAATTTAGGTCAGTGCTTTGGGTGAGGGATATTTTTGTCTCTTCATTAAAATTATATAATTCTTGACAAAGATCTCCATCACATTTTCATATATATGGAATAATACCCAAGCCAAGCAACTAGAGGTCACATTGGGGTAAATTGCGACATCAAGTTAATAAATGATCTTTAAAAACAATTTAAAGATGCCATTGTACTACTCATCTATATTAACTATGACCAACATTAATAGAATATGACTGGGAGAGGAAAAAAAGTTAAAATGCAGTCGGAAACCAAATATAAGAAACACAGGTATACAAATGAATATGCCTGGTCTTTGTGTATCTTTTTTGTTTTTCGTATATTGCTGTAGTTTAAATGTGGGAACTGAAACTTCAATATCAGTTATCATTTTTAAGAGGTATTGTGCTGTGACTTTTTAATGCAGTACTCAAAATGTGGTAGATTTGCAGGCTTGACAAAAGGAAATAAATTAATCAGTGTCATATTACTAATTAATAGGCTCCCTAAAATGAGGGGCTAAAAATGTAAGCTTGCTATTAATGTGTAGTTTATTGTGATGTTATTTGACATCCTCTGGGGTGGTTATATTCATAGCCTAATTTTCAGCATCTTAAAGAAGCTGCTTCAGTACAGTGTTATTGTACTGAGCCCCATGAAGCTAGTTCATTTCTAAACACTTTACAGGCGTACAAATTTAATAAAATACTAGGTGTAAGTCTATCTAGACTACCCCAAATGATTTTAAAAATTAATGTTTAAATCCGTGTACACTGTAATCTAGTATGACATCACATGACTTCGTGTGATTGTGCCCATAGCTAATAACAAGGATCCTCGACAAAATATGAAAGTCAATATATTAAAATTGTTACACTTCAGGTAACACAAGTAGGACTTTACACACCAACTCCCCCATTCCCATCTTTCTAGTTTCTTTTAAAGTATTAATTTTCGCTAGTTTCGGTGAGGAAAGTACATTTTGCATTGGATGGTGGGCTATTTAAATGGTATGGGTGGGTGGTCCATTTGTTTCTCTCATAGGAGAAGACTTTCTCAGGTACAGTGTTCGATAATTAAATCAGTTGTCAGGTTGTATCATAATGACTCGGAAGAGAATGGATGACCTATTATTGGTGGGTGAGTATCATATACTAAATCATTCCATTCTATAAGGATGGCTCAATTTTTCTTTGCTACTGGAGATATAAATTATTAATCTTACAGGTTTTCAAAGCATAGAGTTTTTATGCTTTTTACAATGGAATAAAAATTTATATTATGTTGAGGAAGAGTGGAATTGTGCAGATGTTTGAATTATCAGGCTAAATTTTTAATGTGATGTAGTTTTACAAATCGTCATTTGGAAAAGTTCAAAAATACTATGCCAGCCTCAGTCATTTTTGAAAGATTAAGGATATTATAATAGTCTAAATCATAAAACATATTAGCAGCACTACAAAATCGCTCATGACATAAAATGTTGTCAGTCTCTGTCACCTTCATAGATGGCAAAGCAAAAATCACTCAGATCAAGAACCTAACAAACGATACGGTTATATTTTCCTGTTTAAAACAAGTTATTTATTGTCAGATTTGTGATTGCTGCTATGAGTTTTGCATTTCTGCTGTTGCTTTTGCCTAAAGGTGAAAATCAGGCCTGAAAACAAGCTTCTTGCTCCCATGGGCAGGGACTGGCAGATGCAACCTTACAGTGTTTCAGATGTTTATTTTTAAACATCTTTATTGGAGTGTAATTGCTTTACAATGGTGTGTTAGTTTCTGCTGTATAACAAAGTGAATCACCTATACATAAGCATATATCCCCATGTCCCTTCCCTCTTGCGTCTCCCTCCCACCCTCCCTATCCCATCCCTCTAGGTGGGCACAGAGCACCAAGCTGATCTCCCTGTGTGCTATGTGGCTGCTTCCCACTAGCTATCTATTTTACATTTGGTAGTGTATATATGTCCATGCCACTCTCTAACTTTGTCCCAGCTTACCCTTCCCCCTCCCCATGTCCTCAAGTCCATTCTCTAGTAGGTCTGCATCTTTATTCCTCTCCTGCTCCTAGGTTCTTCATAACCTTTTTTTTTTTTCCATATATATGTATTAGCATACGGTATTTGTTTTTCTCTTTCTGACTTAACTTCACTCTGTATGACAGACTCTAGGTCCATCCACCTCACTACAAATAACTCAATTTCGTTTCTTTTTATGGGTAAGTAATATTCCATTGTATATATGTGCCACATCTTCTTTATCCATTCACCTGTCGATGGACACTAAGGTTGCTTCCATGCCCTGGCTATTGTAAATAGTGCTGCAATGAACATTGTAGTAAATGACTCTTTTTGAATTATGGTTTTCTCAGGGTATATGCCGAGTAGTGGGATTGCGGGGTCATGTGGAAGTTCTATTTGTAGTTTTTTAAGGACCCACCATACTGTTCTCCATAGTGGCTGTATCAATTTACATTCCCACCAACAGTGCAAGAGGGTTCCCTTTTCTCCACACCCTCTCCAGCATTTATTGTTTGTAGATACTTTTGATGATGGCCATTCTGACCAGTGTGAGGTGATACCTCATTGTAGTTTTGATTTGCATTTCTCTGATGATTAGTGATGTTGAGCGTTCTTTCATATGTTTGTTGGCAATCTGTATATCTTCTTTGGAGAAATGTCTATTCAGGTCTTCTGCTCATTTTTGGATTGGGTTGTTTGTGTTTTTTATTGAGCTGCATGAACTGCTTATAAATTTTGGAGATCAATCCTTTGTCAGTTGCTTCATTTGCAAATATTTTCTCCCATTCTGTGAGTTGTCGTTTTGTATTGTTTATGGTTTCCTTTGCTATGCAAAAGCTTTTAAGTTTCATTAGGTCCGATTTGTTTATTTTAGTTCCTATTTCCATTTCTCTAGGAGGCTGGTCAAAAAGGATCTTGCTGTGATTTATGTCATAGAGTGTTCTGCCTATGTTTTCCTCTAAGAGTTTGATAGTTTCTGGCCTTACATTTAGGTCTTTAATCGATTTTGAGTTTATTTTTGTGTATTGTGTTAGGGAGTGTTCTAATTTCATTCTTTTACATGTAGCTGTCCAGTTCTCCCAGCACCATTTATTGAAGAGACTTTTTTCCATTGTGTATTCTTGACCCATTATCAAAAATAAGGTGATCATATGTGCGTGCATTTATCTCTGGGCTTTCTATCCTGTTCCATTGATCTATATTTCTGTTCCTGTGCCAGTACCATACTGTCTTGATTACTATAGCTTTGTAGTATAGTCTGAAGTCCAGGAGCCTGATTCCTCCAGCTCCGTTTTTCTTTCTCAAGAATGCTGTGCCTGTTCGGGGTCTTTTGTGTTTCCATACGAATTGTGAAATTTTTTGTTCTGGTTCTGTGAAAAATGCCAGTGGTAGTTTGGTAGGGATTGCATTGAATCTGTAAATTGCTTTGGCTAGTATAGTCATTTCTACAATGTTGATTCTTCCAATACAAGAACATGGTATATCTCTCCATCTGTTGGTATCATCTTTCATTTCTTTCATCAGTGTCTTATAGTTTTCTGTGTACAGGTCTTTTGTCTTGTTAGGTAGGTTTATTCCTAGATATTTTATTCTTTTTGATGCAATGATAAATGGGAGCGTTTTCTTAATTTCTCTTTCAGATTTTTCATTATTAGTGTATAGGAATGCAAGAGATTTCTGTGCATTAATTTTGTATCCTTCTACTTTACCAGATTCATTGATTAGCTCTAGTAGTTTTCTGGTAGTATCTTTAGGATTCTCTTTGTATAGTATCATGTTATCTGCAAGCAGTGACAGTTTTACTTCTTTTCCGATTTGGATTCTTTTTATTTCTTTTTCCTCGCTGATTGCTGTGGCTAAAACTTCCAAAACTATGTTGAATAATAGTGGTGAGAGTGGGCGACCTTGTCTTGTTCCTGATCTTAGTGGAAATGGTTTCAGTTTTTCACCATTGAGAATGATGTTGTCTCTGGGTTTGTCATATGTGATCTTTTTTATGTTGAGGTAAGTTCCCTCTATACCTACTTTCTGGAGAGTTTTCATCATAAATGAGTGCTGAATTTTGTCAAAAGCTTTTTCTGCATCTATTGAGGTTATCATATGGCTTTTATCCTTCAGTTTTTTAAAATGTTGTATCACGTTGATTGATTTGCATATATTGAAGAATCCTTGCATTCCTGGGATAAACCCCACTTGATCATGGTGTATGATCCTTTTAATGTGCTGTTGGATTCTGTTTGCTAGTATTTTGCTGAGGATTTTTGCATCAGTGTCCATCAGTGATACTGGCCTGTAGTTTTCTTTGTGACA